TTTTTTGCAAGCCAATCCAAGTGGAAAATTACAAACCCAATCAATCTAGTTTACGGTAATTGACTGACCGAGTTGGCAATTTTCCCCTGGCCAACCCAATCGTACGATAGCTTCTTCTATAATTGTACTTTTACTATGATGTTTATAATCTTCTTTGGCAATTCCGTTCTTTGAGTTGAACAGGGTCACCAGTTTTTGCTTTGAATTGGTTTCTTGTGAACCAGCCCCCAGGAGTTGGCAGAGGAGGGCTTCTTGGATGGGCCGGACGTTTTGATTGCAGTCTTTGAGTCAGCAGAGGAAGGCGGGCTCCTTGTTTCCCAAAATAGTTAAATTAATTGGGTAATTTGATACATTCTCCTTTAGAGTGCCAGGATCCTTGGAAGTTGCTGGCGCTGAGCGTTGCCTTTTGTTGAAAGGCATGGACCCTGAGAAGGCAAAAGTTGTGAACCTTGACTCAATCACCTATAGCCATCCTGCAAGAAGTGTGGTTGCAGTCCAAACGTTTGTCAAAGCACACATGCTTGAAACCAGCCAGCCAGATTCTTCATTAGTCTCTGTCGTCACTATCCTGTAAGGATTCTGATTCGCAACATTGCCGTGTTCCTCCAGGAGCCTGCGAAGACGGTTTGGAATGATTTGGCAGAGGGAAATTATGTGTGTTGCAAGAAGTTCTCTGTCTCATGGGAGAGCATTTACCTTTTGCCGTCCTTGGTCATGACGGCCCAAGAAGAACCTCAACCTGTGGTCGTAAATGCTTTGCCGGACCAGCCAATCATTCGCCTACCCTTGTTGAAGTACGTGTCACTGGTCAAAGGGCTCCGGAATGCCCAAGCCAAGGGTTGCTTGGAGTTCAATTTGTTGAGATGCGCAGCCCTACCTTGTCAAAAGGCTCGGGCGTTTCCCTGTCAAAACCAAGTTGGGGGGACAATCCAAGTTTTGGCTTGAATCTAAGGTTTCTTCAATTCTGACGGAGATGTGCCAACCACTTGTATTTCAGCTGGAGAGATGATCAGGCTGATTCACTAGTCACTAGTGGACGTAGGGCCTTGGTGCTGGATTTTGAACACCCGATGCAAACAAAGTGAGCAGTGAAAGAAGCGGTTGACTCTGTGTTTTTGCGCTGCTTTTTCGTGAGCTCGGTCAATGCCAGAGTTTTCCCGCGGGTTCTTGGGAAAGTCAAGGTTCACTGGTCTTGTTTGCATAGGTCTTGGGCAGTCAACTTCAGCCTGCGAATCCGGTTTCGGGCGGGGGCTGGCGGGGCTGGAAGATTTCCATTGTCGACTTGTCGACCGAGTGGTTGTTTTTGAAAGCGTTGGTGGGTTTCTTGGTACGCTCCCCACCCTCATGCTAGCTTTCACCCCAAGCCCCAACATGGGTTTGGTCTGTGTTGTTTGCAAAGTTTGAGACAACTTTCCCTTCCTCGCGCGTCCCAACACCGAGCTTTGGCTCCACCAAAGGTGAGGCAAGGCTTGATTATCTAACAGTCTCGATATGCAACCACTGGCGAGGGGCAACCCAGACATGAAACACTATTTTGATTATTGTCTAACATTTTT